TTCCTCCCTCCTTTCCTTCCTTCCTTCCTTCCTTCCTTCCTTCCCTCCTTCCTCCCTTCCTTATAACGCCAGTTTACATGTGAGCCGTCCTTCCTTCCTTCCTTCCTTCCTTCCTTCCTTCCTTCCTTCCTTCCTTCCTTCCTTATTACACCAGTTGACATGTGAGCCGTCCTTCCTTCCTCCCTCCCTTTCTTCCTTCCTTCCTCCCTCCCTCCCTTCCTTCCTTCCTTCCCCCCTCTTTCTTTCTTTCTTTCACTCTCTCTCTCTCTATTCCTCCTTCCTTCCTTCCTTCCTTCCTTATAACACCAGTTGACATGTGAGCCTTCCTTCCTTCCTCCCTCCCTTCCTTCCTTCCTTCCTTGCTTGCTTCCTTCCTTATTACACCAGTTGACATGTGAGCTGTCCTTCCTTCCTTCCTTCCTTCCTTGCTTCCTCTTTCTTTCTTTCTTTCTTTCTTTCTCTCTCTCTCTCTATTCCTCCCTCCTTCCTCCCTTCCTCCCTTCCTTCCTTCCTTCCTTCCTTGCTTCCTTCCTTATTACACCAGTTGACATGTGACCGTCCTTCCGTCCAATCAGAACGCCCCTGGTGAACGTGACGGCGCAGCACCAGACGGCGGGATCCGCCTTCCTCAGGCCTCCGTTTGTCGTCCAGTTCTACAGCAAGAAAACAGGTCAGAGGAATTTAGAGAAGGATTAAAAACTTTCTGTTTCTTTCTGGTTCCAAGTTGCGTCTTTCTGTTTCCAGACATCAAGGAGTTTATTTTGGTTCCTCTCCACTCCGACCCTGACGATGCAGTGCGGGAGATCGACGGTCTCTATGACGTCTTTCAGGAAGTCAGTGCAATGTGGAACAACCAGGTGAGGAAACAGCAGTTTGACAGCAGAGGGCGCTCATGCATCCTGTCACTGTTCCCATGGAAACGGTGGATTCCCGGCTCAACGGACGCCATCATTAATGAGGTTCATTCTTGACCAAGAACGCTGCGCAGTAAACGCCTCGCTCATCAGCTAATGGGCTGATGCCTTACGGCGTCTTCTCCAGCTAGCCCTGCAGCGTCATGCTAGCAGCTAGCATGGCTGCCATGAGCTATACCTCATGGAGCTAAAGGCTAACCTTCACATGAATTCATTCATCGATTACCTCCAGCACTAGTTGAGGAACTCATGGTCTTCCTGTCGGGATTCTCATTAATGTGACGTTTTTCTCGGTGGCTTCATTAGAACCCGGTCAGGCCGCCATCTTTGAGTGTGAAGCTGGTTCTGGTGCCTAATCTGGGAGGGAGGGAGGGAGGGAGCTGCTCTCCTGATTACACTCATCTAACGGGGGTTCCATGGAGGCTGAAGCGGGTCGATGACATGCGCTCCGTTTCTCACAGCAGGTTTACTGAAAACTCTAAACCTGGAATCAGGGAAGGTTTTCTGTTTCCATCAGGAACAATCTTGCATTTGTGATCTACAAATGGGACAACAGAGTGCTCTGAATAAATGTAAAAATGGCCTGCCATAGCCCACTCCATATAAACTGACTTTAACTGGAGCAACAGCTGTAGCTCAGCTTCTCTGACTTTTAAACGCATTATCCTTGTTTTTTTAGTTTCCTCATTAAATCTCTAGTCCAGAGGGTGAATTAGGCACTTCCTGTTGTCATT